TTCCGATGGATCTTGCCAGTTCCAGATTCTTGGGGAAGCTTCCAGAGGAATCCGGTGAATTCCTCAGGATACGACGAATTGCCGGATTCCTGAGAGGACGTTTTAAAAGTTCCTAAGAATTCTTAGGGATCATAGACATTCCCCGATTATTGGGAGATCCTCCCAAGGAATCCGGGGAATTCCGAGGGGCCCCACCAATTGCCCGATTCCTGAGAAGACGTCTTCAGGAATCTTCCGAATCCTTAGGCATCCGTAGAATTCCAAGTTTCGTAGGAAGGCCTCTTAGGGAACCAAAAGATTTCCCAGGGATCCGACCCAATGCCAGATTTTCGAGAGGGCCACTTAAGGAATCCTACGAATTTGCATGGGTCCCACCAGTTCCCAGATTCCTTAGAGGACCCGTTAAGGATCCTTCGGAATCCTCCAAGACTTGCAGCACCCCCCTGGGTATTCCAGCATCCGTCGAGATTCCGCCATGGACCATCGGAAAGCTTCAGGATCCCTCAGAATCCTGTGGAACCTTGGGAGTGCAAGGACGTCGGCCCGAGTTATGACTGTCCTGGTGACAATCGGAAAAATGGAACCATGCCATAAATGCGGCAAGGCGGGAGGGAGGTGTGAAACTGATTTTTTTTTTTTTAAAAAAAAAAAAAAAAAAAAATCAACGACTTAGTCCGATTGCTGAAGGATGAATCGTGCACGAGGGTGGCGTGTAGTGTAGCCGACACGACGGTGGGGTTTGAAAGCGACGTTGTCCTCAACTCATCTATATGGACCCAATATTGTCGCTATACAGTATAGAGTACACGAAGGTAGTGTGTGTGTGTGTGTGGCCAGACACGGAAATCCAGCCCGACAATACCATTTGTTTTCAATCATCAATACTACTACGATTACTACTACTACTACTACTACTACTACTACTGCTACTACTACTACTACTACTACTGCTGCTGCTACTACTACTACTACTACTACTGTTACTACTACTACGACTACTACTACTACTACTACTACTACTAGTACTACGACTATTACTACTACTACTACTACTACTACCACTACTACTACTACTACTACTACTACTACTACTACTACTACTACTACTACTACTACTACTACTACTACTACTACTACTACTACTACTACTACTACTACTACTACTACTACTACTACTACTACTACTACTACTACTACTACTAGACTACTACTACCTACTACTACTACTACTACTACTACTACTACTACTACTACTACTACTACTACTACTACTACTACTACTACTACTACTACTACTACTACTACTACCTACCTACTACCTACTACATACTACCTACGACCTACGACCTGCGACCTACTACTTATTACTATTACTACTACTACTACTACTACTACTACTACTACTAGTAGTAGTAGTACTACTACTACTACTATGCCTACTACTACTAGTGCTACTGCTACTACTACTACTACGACGACGACGACGACTATTACTACTACTATTACTATTAGTGCGACTACTATTACTATTACCACTTCTACTACTAATCTTACTACTACGACCACTAAAGCTACGACGACGACGACCACGACGACGACTACTACTAGTACTACGATTACTACGACGACGACGACGACGACGACGACGACGACGACGACGACGACTACTACTACTACTACTACTACTAATGCTACTAATACTATTACTATTACTACTGATATTGCTACTGATACTACTACTACTACTACTACTACTACTACTACTACTGCGACGACTACTACTACTACTACTTTTGCGACCACTACTACTTCTACTACTACTACTACTACTCCTGCTACGACTACGACTACTACGACTACTACTGCTACTACTACTACTACTCCTACTACTACTACTACTACTACGGCTGCTACTGTTACTACTACTGCTGCTGCTGCTACTACGACGACTACGGCGACGACTCCTAC